GCAGTACTTCGACATGGAGGACTGCGTGCTGACGGCCACTCTGTATGCGGGACTTCATCGCCTGCCCCAGGCACCCCGACCTCCCCGTGCCCCTCCAGGAGCTGGTGCCCGAGCTGTTCATGACCGACTTCCCGGCCAGGTACGCCGCCCTGGCTGCTGGCGGCTGCTGCAGCCACCGCCTCCCGCCCGGTCCCAGGGGACTTTTAGTTACTTATTTATTTTTTGGTTAATCCTTACCCAGGGATATTTTTCCATTGATTTTATTTTTAATATATTTTATTGATTTTTTACAGAGAGGAAGGGAGAGGGATAGAGAGTTAGAAACATCGATGAGAAACATCGATCAGCTGCCTCCTGCACACTCCCTACTGGGGATGTGCCCGCAACCAAGGTACATGCCCTTGACCGGAATCGAACCTGGGACCTTTCAGTCCGCAGGCCGACACTCTATCCACTGAGCCAAACCGGTCAGGCCCATTGATTTTTTTTTAAATGTATTTTTATTGATGTCAGAGAGGAAAGGAGAGGGAGAGTGAGTGAGTGAGAGAGAGAGAGAGAGAGAGAGAGAGAGAGAAACATTCATGATGAGAGAGAATCATGGATCAGCTGCCTCCTGCACGCCCCCTACTGGGGATAGAGCCTGCAACCCAGGCCTGTGCCGTGACCGGGAATCGAGCCGTGACCGGGAATCGAACCGTGACCTCCTGGTTCCTAGGTCGACACTCTACCACTGGGCCACACCAGCCAGGACTGCAGCCTGGTTCCTAAATGGCGTCCTTGTCCAGGGGTTACGGAGCCCGCCGGTCTGAGCAGGATCCAGGGTCCAGCACATGTTCTCTGGGAACTTCAGCTGTGGCCCAACCCCGCCCGCAAGGCGCCACCCTCCTCCCCTGGGCGCTCGGGCGGGTGGGCGCCTGTTCTGACCGGAGCCGCCATGTCCCCCGCAGGCTCTTCCTGGAGAACAGCGAGCTGGAGCACAGCGAGGACGAGAGCAGCGTCCTGGGCCAGGGCGGCAGCGGCACCATCATCTACCGCGCCCGCTACCAGGGCCGGCCCGTGGCCGTGAAGCGCTTCCAGATCAAGAAGTTCAAGAACTTCGCTAACGTCCCAGCCGGTGAGCTGGGCCTGCCTCCTTGCTTTTCTTCTTCTTCTTTTTTTCTTTAATACATATACACTTCTTAAAATTGATTTCAGAGAGAGAGAAACATCAGCCAGGAGAGAGAATCATGGATCGGCCGCCTCCTGCACGCCCCCTACTGTGGGTGGAGCCCGAGACCCGGGCCTGTGCCCTGACGGGGAGTGGAACCACGCAGGCTGGACGGTGTCATTTCTGCGCAGACATGAGCTCCTCCGCTTAACACCCAGTGCGGGTACTGGGAGCCTCTCACCACCGGGCGGCTGAAGGTCACCTGGACCACTGCCCCTGGCTTGCCATGGTCACCTTGGTGATCTTATAGCCACTGGCCCTCTTGGTAGAAAAATTAGGGCCGTAGAACAATACAAAGAAAGCGGGTCCGAGAGGAAGAGACTAACTTGTAACTTTGTGATGAGAATGTGACTTTCAAAAGCATATAGCCCGGCCGGTGTGACTCACTGGTTGAGCGTCTACCTATGAACCAGGAGGTCACGGTTCGATTCCCGGTCAGGGCACAGGCCCAGGTTGCGTGCTCCATCCCCAGTAGAGGGCGTGCAGGAGGCAGCCAATCTATGATTCTCTCTCATCCTTGATGTTTCTGTCTCTCCCTCTCCCTTCCTCTCTGAAATCAATTTTTTTTTAAAAAATTTTTTTGAATAAAATACGTGTGAACTGACGCCGTGCCGCCCCCTGCAGACACCATGCTGAGGCACCTGCGGGCCACGGACGCCATGAAGAACTTCTCGGAGTTCCGGCAGGAGGCCAGCATGCTGCACGCCCTGCAGCACCCCTGCATCGTGTCCCTCATCGGCATCAGCATCCACCCGCTCTGCTTCGCCCTGGAGCTCGCCCCGCTGGGCAGCCTCAACACCGTGCTGTCCGAGAACGCCAAAGGTGCCCGCCGCTCCCGGAACCTTCCACGGGGGAAGGGAGGGGTGTGAGGGGTGGCTGCTCCTGGGAGGCCCAAGAGTCCATGGCTGGCCCGGCTGGTGTGGCTCCGTGGCTGAGCGTCAACCTATGAACCAGGAGGTCATGGTTCGATTCCCGGTCAGGGCACATGCCCAGGTTGCAGGCTCGATCCCCAGTGTGGGGCATGCAGAAGGCAGCCGATCAAGAATTCTCTCTCCTCATTGATCTCTCTCCCCCTTCCTCTCTGAAAGCAATTGAAAATATATTTTTAAAATGAATAAATGAAAAAGAAAGGAGGACAGTCATGCTGATGATCGTCTGATGTGTCTTTCTTTGCAAAGATTCTTCGTTCATGCCCCTGGGCCACATGCTCACCCAGAAGACGGCCTACCAGATCGCCGCGGGCCTGGCCTACCTGCACAAGAAGAACATCATCTTCTGTGACCTGAAGTCGGACAACATCCTGGTCTGGTCCCTGGACGTCAAGGAGCACGTGAACATCAAGCTGTCGGACTACGGCATCTCCAGGCAGTCCTTTCACGAGGGCGCCCTGGGCGTGGAGGGCACGCCTGGCTACCAGGCCCCGGAGATCAGGCCGCGCATCGTGTACGATGAGAAGGTACCCAGCTCAGGACCGCGGGCCCGTGTCAGGCAAGCCATGGGTGGGTGGATGGATGGATGGATGAGTGATAGATGGATGGACAGATGAGTGATCGATAGATGGACAGATGGATGATGGATGGGTGGTTGGATGGATGATGGATGGAGGCATGGGTGGGTGGATGATGGATGGGTGGGCGGGTGGTTGGATAGATGTAGAGATGGATGATGGATGGAGGGGTGGATGGACAGATGGATGATGGGTGGATGGATGGGTGGGTGGATGGATATATAGAGAGATGGATGATGATGGGTGGACGGATGATGGATGGGTGGGCGGGTGGATGGATAGATGGAGAGATGGATGATGGATGGATGGATGGGTGGACGGATGGATGATGGGTGGATGGATGGATGGATGAGTAGGCTGGAGGATGGATAGAAAAATGGATGAGGAATGGGCGGTGTAGGTGGGTGGAAGGAAGGAAGTACAAATGGACGGACTGGAAGGTGGATGGATAAAGGGACAGAAGGATGGAGTCGGGTGGTTCGTCATACGTTTGGACAGGTGGGGAGAGGTGGATGGATGGGTGGATGGATGGGTGAGTGCCTCCCTTTGCACAGGGCCCCTGATCTCCTTGCCTAAAGGTACCTCCCTTCTTTGTCCACCTGAGGGCCAGCCTGCGAGAGTGGCTGGGCCCAGGCAGGGACCTGACTCGCCTGCCTCCCCGCCAGGTAGACATGTTCTCCTACGGGATGGTGCTCTACGAGCTGCTGTCCGGACAGCGGCCCGCGCTGGGCCACCACCAGCTGCAGATCGCCAAGAAGCTGTCCAAGGGCATCCGCCCGGTGCTGGGGCAGCCGGAGGAGGTGCAGTTCCATCGGCTGCAGGCGCTCATGATGGAGTGCTGGGACACGAAGCCCGAGAAGGTACCCGGGGCGCAGGGCCTGGCGCCCAGCACCTCCGGCCGCTGTGGTGGATGGAGGCTGTGGGTCTCCTGGGGCCCCGTGGACGGCTGCCCCGAAGGGCTCAGAACCCATAGGGCCACTCCCCGCTGCTCACCTCTTCCAGAAAGAGGTCTCTACTGCTCCTCAGACATTCCGATCAGTGCTGTGGGGTGTGTATCACTCTGAGGACCAGTGACCTTGCTTTTCCTCCCAGCGTCTGTGTAGCATCCTCATTCGGGTAAAGCACATCCGCCCCTGGATGGCGAGGCGGTCCCCGTGCAGGAGCAGGGGACGTAGGTGGCTCCTTGGAGAGTAACGGGGAGCAAGCAGGTTTGCTCAAGAGAAACAGGAGCCTCATTGTCTTTTTAAAGCCAGTGGCTGTCCTTTCGGTGTGGCTCAGTGGTCAGGGCACATGCCCGGGTTGCAGGCTCGATCCCCAGTAGGGGGCGTGCAGGAGGCAGCCGATCCATGATTCTCTCCCATCATTGATGTTTCTGTCTCTCCCTCTCCCTTCCTCTCTGAAATCAATAATAATATTTCATGACTAGATAATCAATACAGCGAGTTGTTTTCAGAAAAGGCCAGTGGTTTCAAGTTTAAACCACATGGATCACTTTAGAAAGTGCGAGTGTAAAGTGTTGGCAGTAAATGAGGTCTGAGAACATTTCTTTACAAGATTCAATGATTCCGCACTCCTAGGATTAGGGGGTTTAATATCAGAGGTTAGACTAACCTGGTCACGGGAGTTCTAGTTGTCGGAGGGTCTGCTTCTGGTGTCTGTTTTGTTCTCTTGTTTCAGTTGAGTCTTGTGTTGTTTTTTTAATTGATTTTAGAAAGGAAGGGAGAGGGAGAGAGAGATAGGAACATCACTAATGCGAGAGAATCATTGATCGGCTGCCTCCTGCTCGCCCTGTAACCCGGGCAAGTGCCCTTGACCAGAATCGAACCCGGGACGCTTCAGTCCGCAGGCCGACGCTCTATCCACTGAGCCGAACCGGCCAGGGCTCAGTTGAGCCTTGAATGAGTCGATTCCACTCCTTCCTCCCTGGTTCAAGACGGTGGGTTTCCTGGGCAGAATGGGCATCCGTCTGGTTTAGAGTGACCCCGCTCATGGCCACGGCGGCCTCTCTCCCTCAGCGACCGCTGGCCCTGTCTGTGGTGAGCCAGATGAAGGACCCGACCTTCGCGACCTTCATGTACCAGCTGCCCTGTGGGAAGCAGACCGCCTTCTTCTCGTCCCAGAGCCAGGAGTACACGGTGGTGTTCTGGGACGGCAAGGAGGAGTCCAGGTAAGGCCTTGAGGCTTGCCACACCCTGCTGGTGTCAGAGGGGGGGCGACCGTGGCATCGGGGGGGCAGTCGGGGGTGACCACGATGAGAGATGGTTGGTGCATGATGGATTGGAAGCCCGATGGAGACTCCTCAGGAGAGAAAACTGCCCCGGCCCGTGTGGCTCAGTTGGTTGAGCAGCGTCCCATGAACCAAAAGGTCTCCGGTTTGATTCCCGGTCAAGGTACACGCCCAGGTTTTGGGCTCCATCCTTGGTTGTGGCATGCGAGAGTGGGGGAGGTGGCCGATCAATGTTTCTCTCTCGCATCGATGTTTCTCTCTCTCTCCCTTTGTCTCTCTCTTTAAAAAAAAAATCAACAAAAACGTATTTTAGCCCTAGCCGGTTTGGCTCAGTGGATAGAGTGTCGGCCTGCGGACTGAAGGGTCCCGGGTTCGATTCCGGTCAAGGGCACACGCCTGGGTTGCGGGCTTGATCCCCAGTAGGAGGCGTGCAGGAGGCAGCTGATCAATGATTGATCTCTCATCATTGATGTTTCTCTCCCTTCCTCTCTGAAATTAATAAAAAAAATATATTTTTAAAAAGCATATTTTTTTAAAAAAGAGAGAAAACTGCACATAGAGGTCTGTGATTAAGAGAAGCAAAGAAGCCCGGCCGGTGTGGCTCAGTGGTTGAGCGTCAACCCATGAACCAGGAGGTCTGGTTCCGCCCATCGCCGATTCTCCTCCATGGTTGCCACAGGCCAGGCCGGGATGAGGGAGGCGGCCCTGGGCCCCCTGAGCTGACCACACCGTCGCCGCCCCTTGCAGGAACTACACGGTGGTGAACACGGAGAAGGGCCTCCTGGAAGTGCAGAGGATGGGCTGCCCGGGCATGAGGCTCAGCTGCCAGATCAAAGTCCAGAACTCTCTGTGGACGGCCACCGAGGTACCCCCCACCTCTCCACCCCCACCCCCCGAACCCCCCACTCCGTGCAGGGCTCTCGTCAGGCTGGCAACCCCGGGAGCCAGATCTACCACCTAAATACAGGACACTGGGCCCAGCAGGCTCAGTAGTTGAGCGTCGACCTAGGAACCAGGAGGTCACGGTTCGATTCCCGGTCAAGGACATATGCCCGGGCTGTGGGCTCCATCCCCAGTAGGGGGCGTGCGGGAGGCAGCCGATCCATGATTCTCGCTCATCATGGATGTTTCTCTCTCTCTCTCCCTTCCTCTCTGAAATCTATAAAAATATATTTTAAAGAAAGAAAGAAAGAAAGTCGGTGCCTCAGACCCCAACGGTGGTTTTCTCTGGGGAACAGATGATGGGCAATTTCACTTTTCTTCTTTAGACGACCCTGTCGCTTTCAAAGTTTTTACAAAGGACAGAGATGAGACAACAAGCCACCAGAGAGCCTCTAGACGTGTTCCTCTCTGAGGGCCGGAGGGTTTGCGAGGCGGAGCGGGCCCCATAGGGACGTCCGGCCCGTGTCCGCCGGGTCTCACGCCGCCCGTCTGCCTCTGCAGGACCAGAAGATCTACATCTACAGCCTCAAGGGCATGTGCCCCTTAAATGCGCCCCAGCGGGCCTTGGACACGCCGGCCGTGGTCACCTGCTTCCTGGCGGTGCCTGTGTTGAAGAAGGTGAGGTGTGGGCGGGGGAAGGTGAGTGCAGAGTGTCTGGCTCTCCCTGCCGGTTCTTTAGGGGGTGGGGGGGTGGGAGGGGAGAGAGAGCAAAGCCACACCCCCCTGGACCGCCAAGCCCAGGTCACTGTCAGCCTTCACCCAGGAGACCTGGGCTGTCCTCAGGGCCCTTCCTGTTGGGGAAAACCCACGTGACCAGTAAGACTAAGGGCTCAGTGGACAGCTGTCCATGCAAATACCACAGCCCTGGATTTTGGCAAAATGCTTTGATACTAGTACATATACTAGAGTCCCAGTGCATGGATTCATGTACTGGTGGGGTCCCTCAGCCTGGCCTGCGGGGATCAGGCCGAAACTGGCTCTCCGACATCCCCCGAGGGGTCCCGGATTGCGAGAGGGCGCAGGCCAGGCCAAGGGACCACACTGGTGCACAGTCGGGGCCGGGGAGGGACGGAGGGAGGGCTCCAGGGCGTGTCAGGCCTGTCTCGCCCAGTCCCTATCAGCCAGACTCCAGCAGCAAGTAAACCTACCCGTCAGAGCATCTACCCCCTGGTGGTCAGTGCGTGTCATAGCGAATGGTCGAATGAACGGTCGGACACTTAGCGTATTAGGCTTTTATTATATAGAATATTTATTTTTAAGTTTCCTGTTTTTATTGTTAATTACATTTTTTATTGTTGATAGTATTACAGATATCTCCCATTTCCCCCCTAGATATATATATATATATTTTTTATTGATTTCAGAGAAGAAGGGAAGGAGAGAGAGAGAGAGAGAAACCTCAATGATGAGAGAGAATCATGGATCGGCTGCCTCCTGCACGCCCCCTCCTGGGATCGAGTCTGCAACCCAGGCATGTGCCCTGAAGGGGCTCTTCCACTCTCTCCTAAAAAGAAGAAAAATAACCATGTTGGTGGTCACGATCTACTGTCAGTTTTCCCATCTCTAAAATGGGCGTAAAAAGAGACCGTGAAAAGGATCTCAGTACCTAGAGCTCCAGGCCATGGCGCTGGGTGAACACGAACTTATTCGTACTTTCCGAGGGTCCCGAAATATATTATGCTCTCTGCCCTCCACCCGACACAGGTTCATTTCTTTTAAAAAAAAGTCTGAACTCAGCCTTAGAGTCATTTATGACGGTGGCCCCACGGGCGAGGCAGGGGCAGCTCGGGCCCCAAGTGCCGGAGAATAGGACACAAAGCGTCATTTAAGGCCACGGCCGGCCGGAGCCCCCGAGCCAGGGCACCACCGCCCGCACGACCAGAGGGAATAAAGCCGGCTCTGTGCAGAGCCTCCCTGCCCGGGTACCTGCCCTCGGAGGCCGCGGACGGGACGGCAGACCCCTGCATTCTTGCACGCGCTCACACCCAGCCGGCCTGGCGCTCGCTGCCCTGGCTGGGGCCTGCGCAGGGGCTCAGTAGAGACACAGCTCCCGTTGGCCTGGGCTGCGACCTGTCCTAAAATCCTGTGAGGATTTCGATAGACATCCTTTTTTTAAAAATATATATTTTATTGATTTTTACAGAGAGGCAGGGAGAGGGATAGAGAGTTAGAAACATCGATGAGAGAGAAATATGATCAGCTGCCTCCTGCACACTCCCTACTGGGGATGTGCCCGCGACCAAGGTACATGCTCTTGACCGGAATCGAACCTGGGACCTTCCAGTCCGCAGGCCGACGCTCTGTCCACTGAGCCAAACCGGTTAGGGCAATAGACATCCTTTTTGTTGTTGTTCATCTTCACCTTCTTTTTCTTGTTTTTTTTTAAAAATATATTTTTATTGATTTCAGAGAGAGAGAGAGAGAGAAACCTCAATGATGAGAGAGAATCATGGATCGGCTGCCTCCTGCATGTCCCCTAGTGGGGATGGAGCCTGCAACCCAAGCATGTGCCTTGACTGGGATTCGAACCAGTGACCTCTTGGTTCAATGGTTGATGCTTAACCACTGAGCCACACCAGCTGGGCTGCTTTCTTTCCTAAAACCCTGATGAAGGATTTCGATAAATGTTCTTTTTTAAAAAATATATTTTTATTGATTTCAGAGAGGAAGGGAGAGGGAGAGAGAGAAACATCAATGATGAGAGTCCTGAATCAGCCGCCTCCTGCATGCCCCATACTGGGGATCGAGCTCACAACCCAGGCATGTGCCTTGACTGGGATTCGAACCCTGACCTTCTGGCTCATAGATTGACGCTCAACCCCTGAGCCCTGCCGGCCAGGCACCCCTGCCTTTTCAAGACCCTTTTTCCTGTCCTCCCGGCAGAATTCCTTCCTGGTGCTGGCGGGCCTGGCGGACGGGCTGGTGGCAGCGTTCCCCGTGGTGCGGGGCGCCCCTGAGGACAGCTGCTCCTACCTGTGCTCGCACACGGCCAACAGGTCCAAGTTCAGCATCCCGGACGAGGACGTGCGGCAGAACCCCTACCCCGTGGCGGCCATGGAGGTGGTGAACAGCGGGTCCGAGGTCTGGTACAGCAACGGGCCGGGCCTGCTGGTCATCGACTGCGCCGGCCTGGACATCAGCCGGCGGCTGGAGCCCTACGCGGCCCCGTCGGCGGTCACCTCGCTCGTGTGCAGCTCGGACTGCGGGGGCGAGGAGGTGGTCTGGTGCCTGGACGACAGGGCCAACCTCTTGGTCATGTACCACTCGGCCACCTACCAGCTGTGCGCCCGCTACTTCTGCGGGGACCCGAACCCTGGGAGGGACGTGTTTCCCGTGCGCCCCTCGGGCCTGGAGCCGCCGGACGGCCCCGTGGCCAGCCGGCAGGAGCCGGAGGCAGACTCCATCGCCGACGTGAGCATCATGTACAGCAAGGAGCTGGGCACGCAGATCCTGACGCACCAGGACTCGCTGACCGACTACTGCTCCATGTCTTCGTACTCCTCGCAGCGGGCCCCCCTGTCCCCGGACAGTCCCTCCAGCATCCTCTTCTCCACCGACGGGGAGGGCTCGGACCGGCTGCTCGAGCCCACGGCCGGTTCCGACAGGTCCGAGCAGGAGCTGAGCCCCGTGGACGGCGAGGCGTTCAGCCAGCACCTGCAGGCCGTGAAGGTCCTGGCTGTGAAGGACGTCCTCTGGGTGCCCAGGTAGGTCCCCCCGCGGCGGGGGGTGCGAGCTTGGGGGTGCCCGTCTCCCGCTCTGACTTTGGGGGCGGAATGACAGAAGCTTGGGGACACTGTGGCCATCCATAGGAGCTGCGCCCCCTGTTCTGAAATTGGGAGCAATCTGTTTGTTTTCAAATATACTTTTATTGATTTCAGAGAGGAAGAGGGAGAGGGAGAGAAACATCAATGATGAGAGAGAATCATGATCGGCTGCCTCCTGCACGCCCCCTTCTGGGGATCGAGCCCACAATCCCGGGCATGTGCCCTGACCAGGAATCGAACCGTGACCTCCTGGTTCATAGGTCGATGCTCAACCACTGAGCCATGCTGGCCGGGCCAATCTCTTTTTATTTTTTTTAATATGTTTTTATTGATTTCTGAGAGAGAAGAGAGGGAGAGAGAGTTAGAAACATCAATGATGAGAGAGAATCATTGATTGGCTGCCTCCTGCTGGCCCCCTACTGGGGATGGAGCCTGCAACCCTGGTATGTGCCCTTGACCGGAATTGAACCCAGTACCCTTCAGTCTGAGGGCCAATGCTCTAACCACTGAGTAAAACCAGTCAGGGCACTAGCTGTATTGTGGTGTGTTTTTTTTAATTTTTTTTAAAATTGATTTCAGAGCGGGGAGAGAGAAACATCAATGATAAGGTGAGAGAGAATCATGGACCGGCTGCCTCCTGCACACCCCTCACTGGGGATGGAGCCCACAACCCGGGCATGTGCCCTGACCGGGAATCGAACCATGACCTCCTAGTTCATAGGTCGACGCTCAACCACTGAGCCACGCAGGCCGGGCTGGAGCGATCTCATTGGCAGAGCCAGCTGAGAAGGGCTGTGCTAGCTGAGGGCACCGTGGTCAAGTGTGATCAGGTTTCCTGCTGGGAAAGTGCCTGCGGGCCCCGCTCCGGTGCCCCCTGTGCCACTCAGTCCATTAGCAGAAACCCCTCGTTTGTTGCCCTGCCGCCTGTGCGCCCTGCCAGCTCCGCTTCCCCTGGCGAGCCCGGCCCCGGACAAAGCGCTTCCCCTCGCGGGTTCTGGTTTCGCAGGCGCGGAGGAGATGTTATCGTCATCGGCCTGGAGCGGGACGTGGGCGCCCAGCGGGGCCGAGTCATCGCCGTCTTGAAAGCCCGAGAGCTGACGTCAAGGGGGTAAGACTGGACGGCTCTCACTCCCCAGGCTGGGGCTGGGGGGGGAGGGGGGGGCGGACCGAGGCCCCCTGCCCCGTCCCTGCACAGTGGCCATCCGTCTGAGAGTAGGAGAGAGAAACCAGTGATGAGAGCGAATCATGGATCAGCTGTCTCCTGCACGCCCCCTACTGGGGATCGAGCCTGCCACCCGGGCATGTGCCCTGACCGGGAATCGAACCGTGACCTCCTGGTTCACAGGTCGACGCTCAACCACTGAGCCACACGGGCCAGCCTTGCGCATCTTGCGATGGGTAGGCCTCTGCCCACAGGCTGCACCCCCAGGGAGAAGCAGGGCACTAAAACACGTGGGTGGGGCCCGGCCGGCGTGCCCCGGTGCCCCCCAAGGCCACGCTCTGGCCTCCCGAGACGGTACAGGGCGAGGGGCCTGGCCTGACCTCGTGGGCACCCCGTGGGTGTTCTCAGACCCGCCCCCTCTCTGCAGGGCTCTGGTGGATGCGGTCGTGGTGGCCAAGGACACCGTCGTGTGTGGCTTCGAGGACGAAAGCAGCGAGTGGTGCCTGGCCGTGTGGCGGGGCTGGGGCACCCGGGAGTTTGACGTCTTCTTCCAGGCCTACGAGGAGCTGGGCCGGCTGGAGGTATGTGGGCGCAAGAGGAGGTAGCGCCCGCCCTCAAAAGGAGCGTCGCCCGGACCTGGCTGGCCCAGGCCTGCGGGCTGCCCCCTCCACCTGCCGCCACAGCCCTCCTCGGCGGACCCGGAAGAGAAACCGAGTTCTCCCACGAACGGCTTGCTGCTAAGAAGTGCTGAGACGTCCCCGCCCCAGCCCTGGCCGGTGTGGCTCAGTGGACAGAGCGTGTCGGGCCTGCGGACGGAAGGGTCCCGGATTCGATTCCGGTCCAGGGCACGTACCTCGGTGGCAGGCTCCTCCCCGGCCGGGGCCAGGCTCTGGTCGGGGCGCGTGCAGGAGGCAACCCGTCGATGTGTTTCTCTCACATCGATGTCTCTCTCTGTCTCTCCCTCTCTCTTCCGCTCTCTCTAAAAATCAATGGGAAAAATATCCGCGGGTGAGGATTAACCAAAAAAAAAAAAAAAAAAAGGAAAATGAAGCC